CTTTTGAGGGCAAACATTATTTGCAACAGATGCAAATCAAATGAAATAACAAAATAGTATACATTTTATGACTAGAGATATATAATGTGTATTTATCAGCTTCCATAAGGATGTAAAAGGGAATGAAAACAAATGTATACATGAGAAGATGTATGATATGAGAATAATTATACTGTTTGGTAGATTTTTGCTGAGCTTACTTTGGGGTATAAATGTTGTTACCCTTCAAATGTTATTAGCTTCAATTTTTCTCTACTATAATCTATGTCCCACGTTAGCAATATCTAGGAAGTATAACAGTGCCCAATCTCAGGGTGCATCTACACTGCACCTTTAGCTCAAAATAAGCCATGCAAATTGTGTAGATTATTTTGAGTTAATTTTGAAATAGCTTATTTTGAAATTATTTCAAAATAGAGAGCTATTCTGAAACATCCCCTAATTCTTGTGCAGTGAAGTTTACAAAGATGTTGTAATAGTGCACCTGTTATTTTGAAAGCTATTTAACAAGCACACTGTCAAGACATGGAAAATGCTATTTCAGGATACTAGAAGTAGTGCTACTATGTGCTACTATGTAGAGGCACCGTCAGAGAAGTTTCAGGGATAAGGAAAGTTTTGTTTTTACTGGAACCAGTTTATCTTTGCTCTTTAGGAGTCTTTCTGGTTGTTGTTCTTTTTCATTGTCACATTTTACCTGATTATCTGAAATTCTAATCTGATTACAGCTGATCTGAATTTGTTTTCCCTATCTTACTTCATGGAGTTTCTTTTCATGTGCTGCCAAATATATAAATCAATTGTGGGTTGACGTTAATTTAGCAGTTGTACTCTTCCTGGGCATATCTACACTGGTAAGTTATTTCTAAATACCGGCCCTTATTCAAAATAACAAAGTGAGCGTCCACACTATCAAGCCTGTTATTTTGAGACTGGCCAATAACCCGTCATACAACGGGATTTTTCGGGTCTCTCCTCCATGTCTCTCTCTCTCTCTCTTTTTCTCTCTCTCTCTCACTCCTCCTCCTCGTCCTCCTGCCTCCCCCCTCTCTCCCTCAGCTCTCCTCCGCCTCCTGCCTCTCTCTCTGTCTCTCTTTCTCTTCTCCCCCCCCTGCCTCTCACTTGGGAGACTGCGGAGCCCAAACGGCCGCTTGCTCCCCCACGGCGGCCCGGCTGAGTGGTGCAGAAGTCAGCTGAGCGCCACGGCGGGAGGCAACAGCGCCCCCCGGAGGCAAGACTGTAACGCATTACAGAGTCACAGACATTGGGCTACTATATATATGATAATGGGCTTGTTATTTGAAAATAATAACTTCTGCTTGGAAAGAGGAATGGGCTTATTTGAAATAGTTATTTTGGGAGTTATTATTTTGAAATAATTTATTTAAAAATAACCTGGTAGTGCAGTCTTAGCCACTGTCCTTAAGATGTTAGACCACTAGATTTGAGAAATACCAGCTACTTTAGGACAACTGGACTGGCTTAAGGGTTCAAAGAAAATGATACAAAGTAGGAATAAGAATGAACATGAAAGCAATTTATGCACCTGTAATTATATAAGAACAATATGCATTACTAAACCTGACATTACCAGTTCAGAATGATTGCCTATATATCCCATACATAGTGTCCTTACATTCCCTTCTTTGTTTATTTTTTTAAAAAGTTAAATAAATGGAACAAGACAACACTCTGCCTACAAATACCTATAAACTTTGGGGGATTCAAATCAATATCTGATCTTTCTGCCTTCATTCCAACTCTTGTTAAAACAGTGCCAGGAAAAAATATTACAAGAGGAGGGAATTGGTGGGGGAAAAGGAAAGAGACACTGTTTATGATTTTTAGTCCTCTTCTGCTAATGGGGATATGATGGATTGCACAGTGAGTTATAATCTATCAAGGTAATCTCATTGGAAACAATGCTAATTAGGTCATAATAGCTTATAATATTTCTGTATGGAACTTGATGGTGAATATTTTTCCATATTGCAACACTTTTTGAGATGATAAAAAAAGTGTCCCAAAGCTGGACAAAAAGTTAAAAATTTCAGTTTTGCAAATTGATAATCTTGAAAACATTTCTGGTTTAGGTTAATCAAAATATTTTGTTTCATAACTATGAAATATTTCATTCAGGTTTTGCCTTTTTTAAAAAAACAAAATCATTTTACCATAAAGTAACTAAATTTTTAAAACAAAAGTGATACTTGAAAATGTCAAACAGGATGTTTTTACAATTTCAAAACTTTCCTTTAGAAATGTTTTTAAACAAAAGAGTCACTGAAACTGATCCTTTCTCAATCAATTTTGGTTCAGTGAATCAGTACTTTTATTCCTAAATAAGTTTCATTAGAAAATTCTGGACCATTTGATAAGAGCTGTGCAAACTGACCATTTCAGTGCCAAATGGATTCACAAAGTTTTGTAGAAAACCTGGTTGGCACGGTTCACAGGATTCAAAGTTTGAAACAGATTGTGCAGGAATTAACACCACTTTCCCCATTATGAATCTGAAAGCAAAGTAGTGGTGTGGAATTGGCCTTGCTTATCCTAATGCATAACTCTAATGCAAATGACTGAACTCTGAACTCGCAATAACAAATTTCACCTTGCAGAACTGGAACATAATGATGTGAGTTGGATATAAAACAATAATGTGTCAATTACCATTGCTTACTACTACTTGATCACACCAATTAAATGTAGAGCTGGCCAAAACCAAATGATATTCTCTCAATCTGTGCTCTTGCACTTCATATAAATAATTAAATATCAATCTGGCCAGAGACACAAAGAAAAAGAGAGATAGAGAGATAGTCCTAGAGTCCACTGGTTAGGGCACTCACCTGAGGCTATGTCTAGACTGAAAGTTTTTTTTTTGGAAAAAGATTCACAAATTGCGCTTTGCTATTTGCATACATTTTTCTGATGTTTTTTTCGGAAGAGGTTTTTCTAAAATGTGGGCTGTCTACAACGGGCCAAATTTCAGAAAAGCCTCCTCTTTTGGAAGAGCCCTTCTTCCTCTTAAAATGAGGAAGACAGGGCTTCCAAAAGAGCATGTCTGCTCTTCTATAAAAAAAAAAGAGCATACACATTCCCTGGATGCGGTGGAGTTTTTCCGGGATACCTCCAGTACCCAGAAAAACTCCATAGTCTAGACATAAACTCAGTGAGATGTGGGAGACCCCCTTTAAATTCCTCTAAATCATGCAGCACAGACTGGAACCAAAACCAATTTCAAATAATGTTGCAGCTGAATTTTAAAAAAGCAGGCACAGTTCTTTCCTTGATATGCATACAAATAATTAAGCACCAACATAAACTCCTTTTCTACAGAAAAGCTGTGTGAAAGAATTAAACAGATATGCATTATCTAACAAAGTTTGCAGTCTTTTATGTCCCAAAAGAAAACGGCTCTTCTCTTCTGTTACGTGTATATGATCATCAGGGAGCTTGTACAAATGTGATAGTCTTTGATAATTTTACAGAAATTTTGATTAAGAAGAAACATTGATCTAAAGAATAAAATGATCAGTTGTTATTTATTATACTGAAATATAATACATGAGCCACTGCCTAACATGAATGGAGTACACAACTTTTATAAAAAAAATACTGATCAGGCCAGAATTTCTTCTACATTGTACTTAAAACAATGTTGGCCTGGGTGAGGACTGTGGGATCAAAACCTTATTCTTGTACTTACAAAAGTGTAAGCAAATCAATGGTCCACTAGACATTTCTTCTTACCTTTCAGTAACTTCTTTAAGTCATGCTTTCTCGGTTATAATTCCAAGAGAAGAGGTACAGTTTCTTCGTCATCTCTTTGATTTTTATTTTAGATACACAGCAGTTGTGGAAAAGGCCAGATGAGATTTTTTTTCTATATTCACTGGTAAATCCAGATTTTGGCACTTTGTTTCTGTTTTCTTGTTACTTTTTGGTGAAGTACATGTGTGTGCTTTCTCTCAGAGTCTTTTGTTAGTGTATCTTTCTACAGAAGACTTTTTCTTTCATTTTTCTGACATTTAAATCCAAGAGATACAATCTGGGATCCCCCACTTCCTTGCTTGTGCTTTCTTTTCTCAGATTAAACAAATATTCTTTTAATACACCTTCTGACCTTCCAGCTTTCTGGACATTCACTTCAGTAAAGACACACTTTTATTTCTATTCCCTTTACAGGTTGAAAGTTTCCATGGGACACTGCTGAATGTTTCATCTTCACTGAGAAACTTAAGTGCAGTATACATTATTGTGCCACTTTTCTCCTCGTGTTACAGAGCATGGTTTACTGAAACTTCAGAACAAAATGAAAACCTTCACATTCTGAAGGTTCAGAACTTTGCAGACACAGCTCCCCCCTATCATTAAGTGCTTGGGATATTCAACAGACCATTACACATACCCTGTGCTATGGAAAACAAATACATTCTTCTGAGATTATCAGGTGAATTAGTTCTATTTCCCACTGCAGGTAATGGAAAAACATCTTGGAACACAATGCTTCATTTCATTCACTTATATGTTTTCATCATAGACTAGTTTCGAACTCTTTTTAAAATCTTCCTTCAAGACATATATTTAAATAACTATGAGTAACACATATACATGAGTGATGTATAAAACAGGACATGATCACTTCTTTACAGAAGCAGTTTACTACCTGCTTAGCAGGGAACCAAAATATATTCATTTTATCTGAATTAGTATACTGCTTTTTATGTAAAGCTGAAAATTGTTTTGAGCAGCACAGATCGGGCTTCCTTTAGGGAAGCCTATAATTTGTTAATTTAAAAAATGTTTAAATTTTCTTTTTGGCTTTCTTATTAGATGGTTCTAATTCTAGATTGTAAAAATGTTCAGTCATAGACATCAGAAGAGCAGACTCCACTTTAAGAAATTCCCATAAATCCTAATTCACTATCTAAAAGGGTCAGAAAGATTATATCTTCAGTCTTCAGTGACAAAATATAATATATATTTGGGTTTCTGGAAATTGCAATGTTTTCTTTTTTATTTCATCTTGGTGACCAATGCTGTCTTGCTCAGTATGAGTGTAAGCATTTTTAGCTTCCTCAATAATCTGAAACAAGAAAATTTGCAAAGACATAGGATCAAAGAAAAGTATAGTCAGTAAAAGAAATAACATGTCTAAAGTATCTATAGGGTTAACATTAACAATCTATAATAATTTAAATTAGATGGATAATAGAGGATTTGCATTATATTGTATTGACATGTTCTGTACAGTAAGAATTGTCTCACACAATGCCGTCAATTAGAATGATGATAGTACCAACAAAAATTTTCCCTTATTTCCTTACAGACATGGTTACACTCACCAGAACTGAAAATTTATACTAAAAAAAATGTAAAGGCCCTGAGACATACTACTTTTAAAGGAAACAATTTCTGGCAGTTTGCTCTGAAAAAATGATAAGATTACAGAAGTGGCTCAGCTTAAACCCTGCATTAAGAAAGCCTAGCTGGATACTGAAAGTACATAATGGATTCATATTCAGTAAGATTATTGGATAATGGCTAGCTACAGTGAATTGTTCATACCAGAATGTAATCTTGTCATCAGGGGAAATACTGATAAAATGACATTATTTTTCAATTTTCTAGCAGCTTCCTGATGTAGCTTAGTAGTTAGTGCCCTTTCTGTCTTTCCCTTTGGATGAACAAATCTTAAAATAGAGTTTGTTCAGGTTAAATACAGAGACCATTTCTGGATGCCTTACTCTTTTCCATATGTTTCAAAGCTGTTAGCTATTTCCATTATCAAGTGACTCTCGGCTCACTTGAAGACACAACAGATGGAGCCTACATAGTGACGGCCAAGCACAAGCTCTTGATAAGAATTGGAACAGAAACAGGAGATAATCAGTAAACAAAATACTTACCGTCAGTACGTGGGCTGATGAACTATGACCAAAGAATGAAAGCTAAAGAGAAAAATAAAAACAAAAATAAAAACTGAAAAAGAAATAGGGGAGGAAGGAGAAAAGGAAAGAAGAAAAGAAAGAGAAAGAGAATTTACAGTGTGTCTAGTGAGAAATAAGTCATGGTTACAGACAAGAGGAAGGCAAAACTGTCATTTGAAAGAAAGAGAAATAAGTAGTGATGGGTGAACTTCCAGAGGTTCAGAGTCTCTGACTGTTCAGCTGAACCTCTTGAATCTGCAAATCTGAGCAGACTCTCCTGTGATTTCCTGCACTTTTTCATCCTGGCCTGGCTGGAAGCAAGAAGGGCAGGAATAAATGAAGTGGTGGGGAGGTTTGATTAATTCCTTTGAACCTCCAAAATGGTTTTCTTTAAGTTAGGTTCTAGTTTTGGGTGGAAGTTCAGACAAATTGCTATTATACATGAACTTATTGGACTACTCTTAGGAAAAAATGCGTTTAATGTGTTTTACTATATTTTTAGGGTAACATTTACCCATTGGTCCAGAACATGAGCAAGGCCTCCTATTTTATGATGTTCCCTTGTGTTGAGCTGAGTGAAAGTATGACAGGTGAAGTGATCAGGGGAGGGGCACTCTGAATCTCCTTTTTTGCTGGGAAATGAGCCTCATGCCAACTCCAAATGTGTCAGGACAAGGGAGTACTGATGGCAGGCTGAGGACAGTGTATTTGGAACCTGTACATAGGAAATATGAACAGCAAAACCACTGTTCCACCTAAAGGCTTGAGAAGTGGTTACAAAGGTGATGCTCTGCAGTCCTATGACCTGCTTCCAATTTAGAAAGTTTCCTTCCTCCTTAAAAATCTGCATGGTTCTCCACACAAAACCCATGTACTAGGCATCTGTGTAGGGTAAAGAAAGGAAAAATCAAAGGGCAACCTAAGAGCATTATTTCCCGGATGGATGCTCTAGTATTAGCTTATGCTGTTATACATAGAGTATTGAAGTGATGCATGTTAGATACCATGCTAATGCATCTCCTCATATATATTCTTGCTTTTTAAGCTCATCGGTTCATTTGAAATTATGATAATTTTTACAGTCTACTTGCTCTCTAGTAGCACTTAAAATGTGCATGTGACAGGTGATTCCCAAACACAGAGAAAGGCAGTGTCTTCCTCAAAGAGATTATGACCTAAAACCTGTCTTGTATTGGTACAAGTTACAATAAAATGACAACTGATTTAAAATTTTGCCCCAAACTCAAACCATCCAACCATCCATCTGAAAAGGTCCAGTAAACTTGGTTGTTTCTTTGCTCGTATGCCTCTATGTGCTTCCTGTTTTTAGCCAAGACTGGCAGCCGAAGGCCGTGTCCACACTCAGGGGTTCTTTCGAAAAAAGTACCCTTTTTTCGAAAGAACTTCCCCTGCATCCAGACTCAAGCTGCGTTCTTTCGAAATTATTTCGAAAGAACGTGGCTTTTCTTTCGATGGCGGTAAACCTCGTTTCACAAGGAAGAACGCCTTCCTTCGAAAGTTCCTCTTTCGAAGGAAGGCGTTCTTCAATGTAAAAAGGCCGTCTTCGAAAGAGAGAACTGGTGAGAATAGGCTTTCCAGACCAAATAGCCACGGCTAAGTTTGGATAAACTTCAGAAACGCATCACTATTTCAGATGCTTAACTGAACTGGACCTTAGTCTTAAGAGGTTTGTCCATCTCTTACACAAAATTTTGCAATGATACCATCTACACCAAAAGTGCAAGAGTGAATTGATATTAAAAGAACATTTATTTTCAACTTTACTTTCTTGATAAATTTATTTTCTTAAGATATATGCATATATTGCTATATATATGTATATCTTATCATTAATGTTTCGTTTCTATTACCATACCTTTTCTTCTAATTCTTTTATTTGTCTTTTTTGACCTTCAATTCTTTCTTCTAGTTCCTTAATTCTCTGTAAAATATAAACCATAAAATAATGTGTTAGTAACAAAGTTTTCTGAACTGGGAGAATGTCTTTTTAAAAAGGAGACTATAAATGATACATTATGGATTCAAACTGATTTGTGTTTTCATTTGTAGATGTGTCCTGAGCCAATACATTGCCTTATTGTGGATACAAACTGATTTGTGTTTTTATTTGTAGATGTGTCCTGAGCCAATACATTGCCTGCATGAAAAGGACTTAAAAAAGCAAACACAGGGCTTATATAGGGCGAATAGGAATCTGGCTCAAAACCTGAAGGTTCTGAATGAGGTTTTCAAAACTTCCTAAATGATTACTTTTAACTTCAGCCAGACACACTGTCTTGATGGCAAAGGACAAGAACCAACAGAAACACTTGATTCACAATGCTGAAATATATACTGATGCTCATTCAGTATAATAAAATAATAATACGACTTACCACTTGTAAGATAAAAGAAGCAGCATAGTCAAGAAGAAAGAGGCAGTGCTCATGTGTTCATTATGCTTAAAAATGAAGGAGACAACCATCTTTGTAGCAGTGTGTACCTGCTGTGCATGTTGAATGAGCTCCATTCTTTCACGCAAAATCTGGGCATCTCTCTCTCGGAGTTCACTCGAAACTTGACGTTTCCATTGTTCTACAGCATTCTTCAGCTTGCTTTTCTCCTCTTCTGAAAGAATTTCTGACATTTTGGCTCCAGCATCTTGCTGCAGGGCATCATACAGCATGGCTTCTAATTCCAGAATTTGCTAGACAAAACCAAAATAAGGGTATTTGTTTATCTTTTTCTCTTACAGGATGGTCGAGGATTTTGTCAATGCCATTGAGAATGATTTTTACTGTTTAACACAAGGTTATTTCCCAACCTTGTTTGTATTATTAACCACCTCTTAGAAAGAGGTGGTTTTTCATTTTCATTACATTACACTATGTTGCCTTGAAACTGACATGGAAATTATATGGGTTTTTCATTTTCATTACATTACACTATGTTGCTAATATAGCAATGAGGAGGCAGACTTTTGTTTGACAAAGTGTTGAAGCAATTATTTAATAATAAAATGTATCCAGGAAAAGAATTAGATGGATCTTATATGAAGGAAAGTCAAAGTTTGGGTCTGCCTATATGTCCTATAAAGGAAGATGTTACCAATGTTTATTAGAATTCTTCTCCAGTCCTGCAGAACTTAAACAGTTCCCGTTGACTTCAAACATCGTCTTGTACTGGACTGTAATCTTATGCCTTCCCTACTATATATTAGGGTTAAATTATCCCTTAACTTGGTACAGACAAACTGTCATTGACATCAGTAGGGCATCTATACATTGGAAGAGGCTGGAATATACTGATTTAATATCTGGACACCTTTAATATCTGGGTTGAGTAATTGAATGTAAACTCTTATTTCAGGAATGTGCTGCAGGGAGGATTGTGCCTAAGTCCTGGCTCATGTATACCATTCCAGCAGTGCACAAGGGACATAACGGAGACATAAGGGTCAGGGCAGTGCCTCTGGCTCAACAGTGCAAGGGGTCGCACATAGCTGCAGCGCTCAGGACTACCATGATGCTGGGCTGCACAAAGGCAGGTGTGTGGACTGCAGGTGAGAGTACTGTTGTAATTACACTGCCCTTTTTGTCTGTCACTGCAGTCCAGAGTCCAGGTAACAAGAAGGGGGCTTAAAGGAATCTTTGCTCCCTTCCTGATGGGCTATGCTGTTTGTGCTGTGCGTCTCAGGTGGCTCAGCACCAAGTCTGCCTGTATCACTTCCCATTGTGTCACTGCTTGGAACAAGCCACGTTCTTCTATCCTGACAATGTGTTTTAAAATGCAATTTTTGTGTTCGCACACAGAATTTGGTTACAAACATCGTGAAGAAAATATTTCCTTCAGGGTTCTGGCAGGAAGTATTTCTCTTAAAGGAGCAATACATAAAAAGAGCAAGTGGTGTGACTTGTGTGATTAATAAACACGTGGGAAGGCATATTTGTTTTCACACACGGTTTACTTAGGTTTTATATTTCATTGAACTTGAAGACAGAAAATCGACTGTTCACTTTTTAATTATTTTTCTCTTCTCTATTTCTTGTCACTTGCATTTTCTCATGCTGGCACCATGTTTCGTTTGTAGGGAATTGTTTAAATCCCAGCAGAAAAACATGTTTATAGACATTTGGTGTGGACACAGAAATGAGACACAGACATTATAATATGATGAAACTCAGGTTACAACTTTATTCAACTTTATACAACCAGGGTAAGCACCTCAAACCATACAGCAAGGATGTTCCAGTGCAGTTCTCAACTGACACCAACTGTTTCGGTGGGCTATTAATCTCTGGGTGTGTGTGCAGGCCACACTCCCTTTATAAACTCAGGCCTGCCATTGGACCCTGCATGAAAAGCAGGGTTCTGACCTGCTCCCCTCCTCTAAACTAGAAGCAGGAAAACTAAGGGAGCCACCCAAAATATTGTGGTTTATCTTGTCACCTGCAATTCTATGCTCAGATTCATTGCCCAGACTGCTCACTGGGGTTATGGGACCTCATATTAAAATCATAGAATACTAGGGCTGGAAGAGACCTCAGGAGGTCATCAAGTCCAGCCCCTTCCCAAAGGAGGACCAATCCCAATTAAATCATCCCAGCCAGGGCTTTGTCAAGACAGGACTTAAAAACCATTAGGGATGGAAATCCCACCACCTCTCTAGGTAACCCATTCCAGTGCTTCACCACCCTCCTAGTGAAATAGTTTTTCCTAATATCCAACCTAGACTTCCCGCACTGTAACTTGAGACCATTGCTCCTTGTTCTGCCATCTGTCACTACTGAGAACAGCCTCTCACTATCCTCTTTGGAACCTCCCTTCAGAAAGCCAAATTCTGCTATCAAATCCTCCCTCACTCTTCTCTTCTGCAGACTAAATAAGCCCAAATCCCTCAGCTTCTCCTTTTAGGTCATGTGCTCCAGCCCCTTAATCATTTTGGTTGTCCTCCACTGAACCCTCTCCAATGCAGCCACATCCTTTCTATAGTGGCAGGCCAGATTCCAAGTCCTTTTCTGCTGAACTGCTACTTAGCCAGTTGGTCCCCAGCTGTAACAATGCTTGGGATACTTCTGTCCCAAGTGCAGGACTCTGCACTTGTCCTTGTTGAACCTCATCAGATTTCTTTTGGCCCAATCCTCTAATCTGTCTAGGTCACTCTGGACCCTATCTCTGCCCACATTGGACCCTTTCTAGCCTATCAACTAACAAATTAGAGACAATTGTAAGTTAAGTCCCCATACCAGACCTGCTGGATGCTGGGTAAAAGGATGAAACACAGTAGGTTGCCAATTGTGCCATATGGGAAAAATCTCTTCCAGACCACAAAACTGGTACTCAATCTTGACTCCAGCATCACCAGAGATCTCTCAGTTAGATTAAGACTGGGGAGCCCACAGTAGCTATTATGCCAAGGCAGAAAGCTATATTGACCCCTCTTGACCTCTACAGCCACTGTTCAGGAGCCACATCCCAAACTAAAAGACATATCTGGAAACCAATGATTTGTATGAGGTAGGTCCAAACATAGCCTCGCTAGTACTTACGTGGGGAATCTGCAAAGGCAAAAAGAAAGTTAGATGCTCAACTCCCATTGTTTTTCCCTGGGAGTTGGCCACCACATTCCAATTTGTCCCTTTGAAACTCTTCTGTAACATGACTGTCACAGAAAAGATCTGGGAAGTGACCAAAAACACGAGGAGAAAAGTGTCTCATTTCTGAATTGTATTATAGACTCTCTCTAAAGATTCATCTTCTCAGCTCATCCTTTTCCCAAGTAGCTGGTATGAGATAAATTGTGTATCTTGAATTTAAGAATCAAGTTAAGAGTATAAGTGCTGGAACAGGGGTGTTGTTACATGCCCTGGCTTGGAGTAATTTCATCATATATAGGGCTTACAGTTTGGTTTAATACCTCTCTGCACCCCCACTGTATAAAATGTTACAGCATCTCTGGGTATGGGAAGATCTATTTGGTTATCTAGTCCATCTCTTTGGCAAAGCAAAATTATTCTCTACTGTACATTTAGTCATGCTTAGTCCCACCTGCTTATTAATCTCCGGTATGTAGGGGGGTGTTCCACCACTTTGTTTGATAGACTATCATATAGCCCAATAGATCTCACTGTCAGGAAATTTTTTCCTGATGCGCAGGCTATGTTCTTTCCTTTTCTCAGATTCATTTGATTGTTCCATATTATACTCCATTTTACTATTATAAATAATGCTTCTCTCTCCTTACTATATATACTCTCCAAATTCCTGTCGACCTATGTCCTCTTTCAATTATTGCTTAGCTTAGATAAATAAGTAGAGATAGATACATTTTATCTATCTATAAACATGCAAGCTCTCAGTATAAATCAATCTCTTCAGTCCACCAATTATTTTATTGCTTTTCTTTAAATTTGTTAATATTTCATGGGACATAAACTACTGAACAGACAGGAAGCTAGAAGTACTGAATAGCAATACAGCAGCCTGCCCACCAACTGTTGAGTTTTTGGTGGAATTATACACAGATAATGGAGGGGAATGGTGCATTCACCAGGAATAATATAATTCTGACACACCCTGGTAAAACTTCATTCTTTGTTAAGTAATGTGGATAAATATTTGATCTGGGAAGATTTCCATATTCAAATCAGTCCCTAAAGATAAAACTGGTGAAGAAACATTGCTCTGCCTATGATAATTCTGAACTGCATTCTCTGTACATTAGGCTCAGTCTGCAGGGCTTTTTTCATTTCATGCATCATTACATAATCCCAGATAAATAACATTCTGCATATGGCACAAGAGTGAGCAAACCTGACCAGCTGGATAGTGGACATCAGATAAATTAGTGGCTGAGCTACATTTAATTTCTCCAGAGATGATTAGTTATTTCTTAGGCTTGAAATGTTATAGTGCTTTCCATGACCTCTGTACACCTTCCATCTCTGAGATATTCCTTCCCTGATATTAAGACAGATTGCATTGGGAGGATGCAATAGCTGATTTACAATATGCGCAACTGCACTCAGAAATTGCTCCAATTTTTTTCCTCTTGCAGATGATGTTGGTGGCGATACTGCGATAGCACAACAACTTTATTTCTTTGGTTTGTTTTATGCTGTGGGAACTTTGAGGAATATGTGAGGGAAAGGATTTCCTCTGCAACAGAGAAAAGAATATGAGGTTGCAGATAATAGCCAGCGGAGTAGACTCACTTGTCTAAATTCATATGTGTGCATGTGTGTGTGTGTGGTGGAAGTTTCAGGAGGCCACCAGCATCTATGAAAGCCTGAAAGCCCATGGAAGCAAGCAGCTGTACTAGAGATCCACATCCTTACATGGGAATACTCTACAGTCTGTGTAGATGTCCCCTGAACAAAGTTTACACTAGGGACTGGGATTTGACCTTATTATATGTAGAAATACAGCCTCATTACAGTACTGGACATATGAATATGTAGTTCTAAAGAAGTATAAAAATAAACACATATTAATAGTGCAGTTCAGGTGCATTTTTCTGTTTATGCAGTTCTATTTTTCCCAGTATAACAGTAATTCTTTGTCATGGGATATGGAAGCAGAAGCCACGGCAGAGAGATGTGCCTGAATAATTACATCTGTTACTATTCACACATCTGTCTGAAGTAAAATGTTGCTAATTCCTCCGGAAAGCACAGCTCCTTATAACTAAATTGCTGAAGTTCTGCTGAGTGCTAAAATCACTCACTTTGAAAAACTGATCCTGGCAGAAATCCAGCACTCACAAAGACAATTTTTCTTCATTGAAAATAGTTTTTACATCTGAAAACTATCTTTTATTTTTGTACAGAAAACTGAAGAACAAGCAAAATATTTCAATTTTGCATTAACTTTGTACAGGTGGAACCTCTCTAGTCCAGCAAAGAGTGGAAAGCTATAGTGAACAAACTTACTAACTATCATTGGTAATCTCATAGTTTACAGCTGGCCTGTGTCTACACTGGGCTACTTATTCCGGAAAATCAGCCGCTTTTCCGGAATAAGCTGCGAGCTGTCTACACTGGCCCTTGAATTTCCGGAAAAGCAACGATGCTCTACTGTACAAAATCAGCTGCTATTCCGGAAAAACTATTCTGCTCCCGCTCGGGCATAAGTCCTTATTCCAGAACACTGTTCCGGAAAAGGGCCAGTATAGACAGCCCAGTAGTCTTTTCCGGAAAAAAGCCCTGATCGCGAAAATGGCGATCGGGGCTCTTTTCCGGAAAAGCGCGTCTACATTGGCCACAGACGCTTTTCCGGAAAAAGGGCTTTTCCGGAAAAGCAGCCTGCCAATGTAGACGCTCCTTTTCCAGAAAAACTGAAAACGGAATAGTATTCCATTTTAAGCATTTCCGGAAATTCATGCCAGTGTAGACACAGCCCTGGTGTCAGAAAAAGGACAGACTCTTCTTGCCCTGTAGAACACACTGGGTGATGATGGATGTAAAACTTCCAAAAGCAGATGAAACATTCTTTTGCCATTGGAATTGTTCTCATAATTTTTTCTCTACTTTTTTGTATATTCCTGGTGTGACGCCCACTGCTCCATGGTGTTCCCATTTATGAGAAAATGCAGGGGATCTTCAGCCAAGTACAAAGGTACTAACAAACAATCTTTCACTCTTTCATTTTCTCTGGACAGCAATACTGAAAGATGATTTGCTTTGAGATTCTTTAGTGAACATAGGATCCCAGAACTGATAATGCATGAAGTACTAAGTGAAAGAGTGATTGGCATAAAGCCATAGTAATGTCATGGAATTACATCTATAACAAATCAATATCCATTGATTGGTGCTGAGTGGGCTATTCTATAGATTCCATTACAAAATACAGATTTTTGGACAATGCCAATCATTCTTCCCCTCTTTACTAATATGCCCACTTTCAGAAAACTTCAGAAATAGTGAGCAGTTTTTGAACTGCTTATTATATGCAGTTCTTGACCAGGGATCATCTCCACATTGTTTGCGGATGTTAGTTCCAGGAAAAGCTGAGCACTTGAGAAGATCAAGTTCTTAAAAAAAAACACCACACCCTAAAAAGCTCATTGAATAAAAGCTCCTGCAAATGTTTGCACACCATAGCACAAGATCATTGAATAAAAGCTCCTGCAAATGTTTGCACACCTTAGCACATATTAGACAGTCAAAAAGATTACTAAAATGCTCTTCTCATCCATTGGAAGACATAATCGTATCCAAGATACAAATAATTCCCAAAGCACAGGAAAAAGCTACAACTATGCAACATATTGGTATAAATATTCATAAGTATGATTAGATAGTTTTTTCCAGTAGTTAGAATCTGTTGGTATAGCTGTAAATGGAATCATAATTGTAGGAAACTGTTTACTGTGTAAGTAAAGAGGTCAAATTTATGTCAGGATTAGCAAATAGGTGCTAGGTAAATCAAACGTAAACTTTTTGTTTGTCCTAACATAGATGCAGAGAACACCTTTAACTTGATTTTAGCTATTTGATTTGTAGCCTAGGTTCCTGGGACAAACCCTGAGATAGAAGACTTATTTTTGGAGGGGAAAGAGAATACAAATGAATGATAAAAACAATACCCAAATACTTAAGGCCCTGATCTTGCAAAGAGCACCATACAACATCAAAAGCTTGTCCATGTGTAGTTCATTGTTGCATTAGATGCTTAATCAGTGTTTCTCAACCTTTTTGAATAAAGTACCTCTTTCTTAAAAAAAAAAATAAGTACCCCCATTTCTAAAAAAAATTATAAGTATCCCCAGTACCCCCATTTCTAAAAAAATTATAAGTATCCCCAGTACCTACAGTTTTCAGATACATTTTTTTTCTACCATTGCAACACATTTGTTTAAACAACTTAATTTTAGCCCGGCGGGCGATGACATTTTTGATTGTAAAAAGTAGAAAAATAATAAAGTACTGTAAAACTTAAAACAAAAATTCATTTTTTTCCAAATTTCAGTTGTGTTGATGTACCCCACAGACTTCTCTCGAGTACTCCTAAGGGTCCTCGTACCACTGGTTGAGAAACACGGCTCTAAATAGGTTGCTTACAATTCAATTTCCCTAATCTTCCAGCCATTGCAACTCAACAGGAGTTCTACAGCCAAAGGACTGTAGAATTATACAATGCAATTTATTAAAAGTAGTATGAGTCTGCCAAGAATGACTTTTCTTACCTTGTGTGCTTGATCCAAAGACTGTTTCCTGTAGTCAAGTTCATCATCCAAATATCCCTTTTGTTTACTAAATAGCGCCTAAGGATATATAGAAGACTTGGTTATCTCTGAATTACATTCAACAACTTGAATGACTATTTTTTTTAATTGTCAGAACACTCCTTCTAGTACCTTTTCATTCTCAAGATCTAGCATCTTTTGCTGCAGTGCAGATTCTGTCACTTCTATCTGCTGTAGCCACTGTATATAAAACATAACGAGAGGTTAAGTCATAAATCTTGATAGATCAGTTTCCAGAGTCAAAATGGCAGCATTCGGCTTCTGCCAAAGAGCTTTCTCTGCTATTCAACTTTTATTACAACTCTGTCATGCCAGATGAGATACATTTAATTTACAGCCACTAAGTAGAAGGGTGGGGGGAAATCAAGCGTATTAGATACAAATTGATGACTGGTAAAGGGACTTTTCCAGAACCTTCAGTTTATCTTTTACAAGTCAAATGACATTCATATAAATGATGGTACAGTTTGAACATTATCTTTATATATTTTTCTCTCATAAATGACTAAGTTTTACAAAAGTATAATTGTGCTTAAAAATCCTATCATTTTGTGAAGAAACAATGATTTACATTCCCAATGTGCTCAAGTCAACTCATTCAGAGATGGGAAAACTTTGTATAATATGATTTCTCTTCTTAGGGATGTATAATTTTTACCTTTTCAGCCAGCGTCAGAACTGTCCTTGCTTGTATGACAACTACTTGCTCTTCGTTAGTCAGATTCTGCACCAAAAGGAGAGCATAATAAACCTCAATGACTTGGTATTATTTTGGGGACAGCGCTTGCATTAAATACATACATAGTTAATGACTCTCATAGAATATTACATAAAATAAACTTTCATATCTGAATATAGCATATGTTTGCATTTTTTAAAATTAATGCTCAGTTATTACAGTAAAAATATTTCCTAGACATTCTCATACACAATAATGTACCTGTAAGTACACCTAATTCTCCTTAAAAGCATGACACTTACCAACAAACTGTTGGCACATCAAAAACCAGCTGATTTTTATTAATGGCACTGTTTCCTTTCTTTTCCCAACACAGGATAACCGCACAATTACACAAGACAACACATAGTAAAGAAAAGAAAAGACACAAATGTGAAAGTCCCAGAAGCATTGGTTGCTGAAAATGTCCAATTAAAAACTTCATTTTATTTCACATTTTTATTACACATTGTCAATATGTGGATGTGTGTGTTTATTGTTGGCAATCTTTAAATTAATAAAACTACACTTATGAACTGTAATGAAATTAAAATATTAATGGATTTGAAATTACAGCCGCTCCCTGAGTTACAACCACCTTCACTTACGACTATCCGCACTTACGACCAAAGTGGTCGTAAATGCAGATCCGAGTTACGAACGGCGATCCGAGCTTACGAACAGCACGGTTGCCATGTAACTCAATGGGATCCGAATTACGAAGTTATGGAGTTACGGACCAAGTGTTGGTCCGTAACTTGTTCTTAACTCGGGGAGCGGCTGTATCTGAATTTTGTATATTATTCAGCCAGGATGTTATTTTTATGCCTTTGATTCTGTTGTAAAAGTCTTAACAGACCTCATTCTTTGTCACTGATAGCCAGGTGGCATTATGGAGTTAGAATTATAGAGGCTACGGGGCATCCAGTGCTGAAAGCTGAATCTCAGTTTTTTACTAAGCATTCTGGTGGTTCACATTGATGTATTAAGCCACGCATTGCACAAGAATGATGTCCCCAATCTAATCTTGGGCCTTGGCTCATTTGCACATTGAATATCAACATGTTCATGATATAAATGAAATGTTTAGAGGAAAGAGAAAATAGGAAGGGCTCCAGTCCTGCAAACTCCAATGCACACAAGCAGTTCACTGAGTTAAATGGGACTGTTCACACATGTAAAATTACACACATTTGCAGGAACATGGCCAGAGGCAATAACCTGACATGGGCTGGGAAGGTTATGTAAGTATCAAGATCAATTAGGCAAGGTCACAGTATACAGATTTGAGGCTGAATTTAAGCCAGGGCTGAGGGATGCTGAAATGTCATGAAATTTCTGTCCTAAAGAACCCAAATGTTGCAATATTTGTAATCTCACAAATTTTCTACCAATTTGAATGGCTGAAGTCTCACAAGATTATCTTTTTTTTAATCATCTTTTGTGCCTCTGAAGTCAATCAAGGGAACAAACCTCTTCCAGGTTGGGATGGATGTGCTTTGAAAGCCAGGCATTGGAGCCCCTCTGCAGGCTGGGTGGTTGGGGAGGATGGTTCAGATCAGGTCCATCTCTCCCCATCATGCTTTGCACGCATATTGCTGTGCTAGAAAAGCAATAATGCTTTAGAAAATGACATAGGCAGCTGGGTGGTGTGGATGGCCTGTAATATACAGGAGGTCACACTAGATGTTCTAGTGATCACTTTGGATTTGATACTAAATAAATTAACCAGGTAATTCCTGCACACAGCAATAAGACTGAAAAGATAGCGAAGGTCAGGAAGGGATTTGAGTCCAGAATGCATTAGGCAGCCTAAGGTAAATATAAATAATGATCTCCTATCTGAATACAATTATTTAAAATGTTTATTGACTGGTACTTGAAAATAAATAACATTATTTAAATAAAATAGTTAATTTTCTCAGCATATTGACAAGAACCTTGTTGGGGTTTTGCTGCTCTGAAAAGTATTTCCTCAGCTGGTTTCCTTTGACTGCGTGCACTGGGGAGGAGGGATTGTAATTTGTGAACATAATCCTTCTATGTTTATGTTTCTTTATAGGGGGCCAGAAGATTATATTTTATCAATTTATCCTCTGTGTCTACTTCACCTTCAATGATACACTTCCTATCCTTAAAGCGAACCTTGAACTTCTAAAGGTTAACTGGGATCAGTTAAAGGCCTCAAGTCCTCAGGGAGTTTTTAGAGATGAAAGTAAAACTACAAAACAAAACAAAAAACCAACAACCATCCCATCCCCAAAACCCCCTCATTGCCTACAGGATAATGCTTGGCTCATTGATCTAACTAAATAAGATGATGGTGACAGACAGATATGAATCAACGGAGACTTTATTTGGCAGAGAGACATCTATACATCATAGAATCATAAAAGTGAAGGGCTGGAAGGGACCTTGAGAACAGTCCAACTCCCTGTGCTGAGGCACAACAAAGTAAACCCAGCCGATTCCTGGTAAGTGTTTATCTGACCTGTTCTCTAAAACCTCCAGTGGGGGGGAATATACATTCGTCCTTGGAAACCTGTTCCAGAATTTAACTATCCTTCTAGTTAGAAAGTTTTGCAGTGGGGGGGAATATACAATCGTCCTTGGAAGCCTGTTCCAGAATGTAACTATCCTTCTAGTTAGAAAGTCTTTCCTAATGTCCAAAATAAGTCTCCCTTGCTGCAGATTGAGCCCATTACTTCTTGTCCTCCCTTCAGTGGAGAGAATTTGGAGAACAATTATCACAGTCTTCTTTAAAGCAGTCTTTGACATATGACAGATTGTTACTAGTCCCTGTTAGTATCAATTTCTTGAGATTAAACATGCCCCCATTTTTGAGCTTTCCTCACAGTTATTTTTTCAAAACCTTTGTCATTTTTGTTTCTGTCTTCAGGTTGCTCTCCAATTTGTCCACATCTTTCTAAAGCATGGCATCCAGAAATGGAAACAATACTCCAGCAGAGGCTCACCAATGACAAATGGAGCGGGATGATTACCTCCTATGTCTTATATACAACACTAGTGTTAATACATCCCAAAATATTAGCATCATGTTGTTGGCACATGTTCAGTTTGTGATGCAATATAATCCCCAGATCCTTTTCAGCAATACTAGGACCTAGCTAGTTATTCCTCATTTTGTAGCTGCGCATTTGATTTTTTTCCTAAGTAAAGTATTTCTGACTTATTTCTATTGAATTTTATCTTATTGATTTCAGACCAATTCCCCAATTTGTCAAAGTCATTTTAAATTCTAATCCTCTTCTTCCAAATGCTTGCAACCCCTCCCCACTCAGTGTTATCTACAAATTGTATACATATATACTTCACTTCATTATCCAAGACACTCATGAAAATATTGAATAATAATACCAGATCCAGGAATGACCCCTGCTGGATCTCATTCGATAAAATTGGTAGAAAAAAACTATGTAGATGGAAACCAACAGAATGTGGCAACCTTGCATGTGGGCAATGGTAAACAAAAGGTCTTGCGGCCCATATATAGAACCCCAATGTGCTACAGGTTGCCCACCACTGTTCTTGATGAATCTGTGTTGGCTACTCTTTATAACCCTATTCTTTTTTAGGTGCTTAAACTGCTTATTTAACAATTTATTACAGTGTTTTCTCAGGTATTAAAGTTAGAATGACTGATTTGTAATTCCCTAGATGCTCTTTATTCCCCTTCTGCAATGTCCTTCACCCATCCTCCATGAGTTCTTAAAGATAATTGCTAATAGTTTTGAGACTGCTTCAGCAAGTTTCTTAAGTAGCCTATGATGAATTTCAGCAGGTCCTGCAGACTTGAATATATCTAGCTTATATGAATATTCTTTAACCCATTCTTTCCCTGATTTGGCTTGTGTTCCTTCCCCCTTTTTGTTATTATTAATTGTGTTGAGTAACTGGTTGCCATTAATAGTAAAACATTCTTGTGTGTTGTATTTTCCCTTCTGTCTCCTCCCTATGTGTATCTACAGTGGAAACATTTATGTATGGGGGTAACTTTATAAGAGTAGTTCAACTGAAGACTTTTCATGTTAGTAAATTTACTCACATGCAAGATTGTAGGATCAACATTTAGATTGTTAATTCAAACCTGTGTACAGCTATAAATCATTCTTGGCAACCCTATTAATATTCATATTGATGTTAATATGAATATTATTAATAATAGCAATATGCTCATATTCTTCTTCTGACTCATCTCAGCTGCCTGGTTCTGTAGTCCTGGATCTGGGCAACACAAACTAGGATGAACCTCATGAATATGTACTTAGGGTGGCTAGTTCATGTCACTGCTGTCCGAGATTAAGCTACTATTTTTAGCAGACTAGTTCAGGTATGAGTTAGTGCAAGTATGCATATGTGAACTGAGAATCACATCCATAGCTCACAGTGTATATGTAGCCCTAGAATGATCTAACAGCCTATGAAGAAATGATGACCCACATGGCCTCACTAGAATTTCACTGGAAAAGAGAGGCTATTTAATCTGCCTTCATATGTGCCTGACTGGAGCTTTGAGGCTGGCTAGCCACATTCAAGTCTCACTTTCTACTGCAAAAGCTAAGTAGAGGATTTTTTAACAGACCTATCCCAGCTTTAGCAAAAGAAAGCATTGCAATCCTGCTGGGTTTAAACACTGAAGATACATCTGCACTGCAAATATAGGTGTGATTTAACACAGGTAGTCATACACGTATTAATCCAGCTCACTTTAATCTCATTAGCATAGATAATAGTATCAGGGTAGATTTATCCGGGCATGGGCTTCCATTCATGAGGACAAATAAAAAAGCAAGCCCTCCAGGCACACTATGTATTCTGGTTGCTAACTTGTGCTGAAGCCTGTGCCACCACGTCTACACTGGCACTTTTACCTGTGCAAGCTAGTTTAGAACTAACATGGTATGCCTACCCGTAGTATAGGTAAGTGTCAAACTCATCCCTGGTGCAGAGGACCAGCACAAGACCCTCCACATCATTTAAACATCATATAGAGGCTGTACTAGATGTTGATCAGTTAAAAAACCCCTTTTGCACCATGGACCTAGACTCTGCCGGGCTATTGTGAAATGTTCCCAGAGGAGAGAACTGGGGGCTGGCCAGGTTAGAAACTGCATCTATGTTTATGTAGAGCTAATGACTCTTGTTTCCAGAACAACCATTCAGGGCTTGTCTTCATTACATGAAAGATTGCTACTGCTGTGATTGATCTTTCGGAATTTGATTTAGTGAGTCTAGTTAAGACTCGCTAAATCAAACTCAGAGGGCCCCCTCCCCAGCCTCCAGTTCTCCTTTTCCATGGAGTAAGGGAAGCTGATGAAAGCATTTGCTCCTGTTGGCTGCCTGCTGGGGGAATACCGCCAAGCTCAGTTTAAGTTAAACCAACTCCAGTTACATATTGTATATAACTGGAATTGTGTACCTTAAGCCAAGCTTCCAGATCTTCTATAGCCTTGCTTCACAGATAGTGTGCCTGCTAATTCAGCCCCGGTAGAATAACAGGTGGAGAAATGGTGCGCCGCCAAGCTCAATTTAAGGTAAACCAAGTCCAGCTACATATTGTAATATAACTGGAATTGTGTACCTTAAGCCAAGCTTCCAGATCTTCTATAGCCTTGCTTCACAGATAGTGTGCCTGCTAATTCAGCCCCGGTAGAATAACAGGTGGAGAAATGGTGCAGGAAGACTGTGCAACAGCCCTGCAGCTTGGCTCTTGGATTAAGGGAGTGAATTTCATCTCCGCATTATCCTTACTCTGAACCCAAACAAAGATTGTACCTCAGGCTTTATGAAAAAATCCAAAAACATAAAAAAAAGAGTGTGAAAACAATTTAAAAAATAAATGCAAATTATTTTAAAGTGGTGGGAAGAGACCACAATTGTTAAATACCACATACTCTTTTCTTAGCACTATTTAAACTATTTCTATTTAATTCATATATGTATTTATTTATTTCAGTTTAAAAGTGCCTATATCTAAGGCTGAAGGTGCCTTACAAAGTTAAAATTCAGTTATTAAAATGCAAAACCAAATAAATACAAGTAAGCAAATAAGCAAATGAACAATGAAAGGGTTTTCTGAAGAAACATAGTTTTAAAAAGAATTTTACCAACCTTTCAAATTGAAAATCAAACTCATGTTATAACATTGAGATGCTTTGGGCATATCTGAAAGGCCAATTAACATATTATGTTAAGTTGAAGAGAGCATTCTGCTTGCAGCCCAGTGCCTCAGTTACAAGGCTAAAGAGGTATGTAATCACAAACCAAAAAAAGCTCTAGACTATCTTATTGCTACATTAATAACAGAACAAATAATTAACAGAAACATGCACAATTTATTAAAGGAACATACACTTACGGCGTTATCCCCTAAAATGTCCAACTTTTTCATTAGCTCCGCTACTAGTATATCCTAACAAGAGAAAAGTGTACAGAAAAAACAAGGAGTCAGAATAAAGCATCATCTGGTATTTAGAGGAAACAATCCTAAGAAATGGGTCTTGCTTACTGTTACACCTTCTGCTTCACAGTAAACTTGGAGAGGACTTTTTCCCTCAGTAAAAGGAATGTGATGAAAGTTGATAGCAGGTGATCTTCTTTCTCTCTCCTAAAATAAAAATAATTATAATTAAGGAGATTCAATTTTTAAGTGCCATATTTTACTATAAGTTTCAGCTTTATTAAGAATATGTTATAAATATGGGCATTCCAGAAAGATGTACTCTAAAAAATTAATACCTCAAAAATATGTAAATTACAGAGTAGCACTATTCATAAGAATCTATATTTACTGTACAAAAAGATGGAAACATTTTTATAGCTATTTATTCTAAAATGCAAAGTAAAAAGTGCTATTCATTTGAGAAGATGTAATGACTGTGAAAGATTTTATTATATTGGCAGGCGGTGAAAATCTCTGTTTCTACACAGGGAGGATAAAGGAAGTTTATATTGTAGTAAGTGATTCCAGTTTCCAGCACAACCATTCACACTGCTTCATCAATTTTCACCAACCATGACTGTCTAGTCGTTATTTTGGTTATATATGTAGGCTACATTTGGGTAGCCTGGATGTGTTTTAAACCAAAGGCATGTGCGGATATGTCTAGACTGCAGGCTTCTTTCGGAAGAAGCTTTTTTTGGAAGAGATCTTCTGAAAAAACTTCTACCAAAAGTGTCCACAATGAAAAAGTGCATTGAAAAAGTGCTCTGCTTTTTCGAAGGAGAGTGTCCAGACTGAATGGATGCTCTCTCATATGTAAGGTGTGATTGCTATGGACGGAATGGCCACCAGGGCACCTGTGCTTATTCCTCTTTCCTCTTCTTCCGAAAGAACTCCCTCTTTCCCATCCACATGTCTTTTTGCGAAAGAGCTCTTTCACAAAAAGGCTTCTTCCTTGTAGAATGAGGATTACCGATGCTGGAAAACCCCCCTCTGTTCTTTCGATTTTCTTGAGGAAGAGAGCAATTGTAATGTGGACTTTCTTCAAGTTTTCTGACAAAACTCTGTAGTGTAGACATACCCTAAGTGACATTTGTTTTGGATATTACTGTCTGACAAAAGCTGCACACCAGTAGTGTTGATCAAGGATTGAAGGTTTAGGCTTTCTATAAATGCTATAAAAAGTCTATGTCATGCTAAAAAAAGCTCACCAAAATTAGTACAATGTGGCGGGCTATGCAATGTCCTTGATCTCCATGTGGAACAACAATATATTGCTGAATGATTTTTAGCAATCAGTTAAAAATTTCCATAATTATTGTTCTGTGTCTTACATTTTGATTTTGCTTCACTTGCTAAATTTTCAGACAGATGTAGGGGAAGAACAGCAGAGTAAAAAGATAATCTATGACATAAACTGGGCTCTAGTTAGAGCTCAAAGGGCTGGGTCTTTAAAAAGCGTATGCAGTAAGACAGACAGACACCAGTGTTAGTCAATTTTGATAAATTATTCTGTCTGTTTTTTTTAATCCTTTTTTAGTACCACTGTGTATCAGTCACTGATACCACTTTTAAGGAAGCACCCATAATCAATATAAAAGCAAAGGGGTTCCTCATGTATTGCTGCCTTAGAAACACATAATGCAGAAAGAGTGACAATGGTTGTAAAGATAACTGTTGCTTACTTCAAGCTCTAAAATTCTGAACTCCAGGAGTTCATTTTGATCTTTAGCATCCTGGACATCATGTTTTAACCGAGCTTCTTCTGTTTCCAGTTGTTTTATCTGAAAAATAAAATGTTTAAAAAAAAATATTTCATGGTTCATTTCACTTTTGTATAAATCTGCTAAGAATTCAGTTTCTCTGAGCAATGCTCATGGTGTAAAAAGCAAATATTTTGAATTCATGATATTTCAAGATCACTGCAAATCTTCTGGGTCCAAGATGTGATTCTGTTCTTCGCATCTCTGATAGCATTCCACTTAGATCCTACACACAGTGGAACAGAATTGATTGGTCAAGCTTAATTCTCCAGCCCTCATACTATTTCTAATTAGAAGGTTTGCTGAGTAAAGTACTACTCAAAGGCCTGGTTTACACTACCATGGAAAGTTGACTTAAGATATGCAACTCCAGCTGCATTACTTAGGTAGCTGGAGTTGATGTATCTTAATTTGCATTTCTACACCGTCCACACAGTGGGAGGTTGACGGGAGCAAGCACACTGTCCACACCGTGGGAGGTTGACGGGAGCAAATGCTCCCATCGGCTTTTCTTACTCCTCGTGAGGAGCAGGAGTACTGGTGCTGACAGGTTGTCCTCTGAGTTCAATTTAGCAGGTCTATACTAGACCTGCTAAACTGAACCTCAAAAGATTGACCACAGCAGAGTCAATTGTTCATGTAGTGTAGCGATGGCCCAAGTGGGTAAAGATGCAGATTCAAAACCTATATATGTATTATAAGTCCACAGTAAGAATAGACTCTGCACAGCTGGATACACAGAATTAAATAAAGGGATTGCTGAGTAAATAGATCAGAGACGTGGAAATTCAGAAGCCACTCCCCAGAGTGACCTGGCCTTATGGCAAAGGGAGCAAGGTGACTGTCTTGGGCGTTGCGCCTTCAGGGACCTGACACCCGCCCACCTGGCCACTTGCTCGCTGCCCGGCTGGCCATGTGGCACAGCCAACTGTCTTGGGCCCTGCAAACTCATTGGCCAGGCCTGCTTACTTCCCATTATTAACGAGTTCTAAGGATGGTGAAGAGCTCCAAAAAAATCACCTTATCCATCCATTTGTACTATGGCATGATGAAGATATCATTACTATATGCAAATTTTTCCAATTAGAGCTGTGTGGACTTTTTAAATATTCTATACTGGTACTTAAGTAATACCAACAAACCACTTGTATTCCTTAAGCTTCTAAAAATATAGCACTAAAGGCCAGTACAAACCACTAGATCATCTGCTCTGATTTCCAGTATATCAGAGGCCACCAACTCCCACACACTAAATCCAACAACTGAAATGAGGCGATTACAACCCACAGGAAATTAGTTTATTATTTGTTACAGCAGAGATATTCCAGAAAATCCTGGAAACAACTCACACCCACATCCTGCAGAGGAAGGCAAATAATTTCCAAGGTCATTGCCAATCTTTAGCCAGTTCTTTTCATATTCTGGGATGGATATTATCTGTTCCCCTTGATCTGAGCACAGAAAACTCAAAAAAAAAATTCTTCCACCTCAGATGTGATTATTTTAATTACTGGATACTCATTTCCATCACCTGTACCTAATTGACATTTTTACTGAAAACAGATACAAAACATTCATTTAGGTGTCGGGACATATCTAGATTATCTTTAATCTCCTCCTCAGCAATACTACATAGCATCTCAATCCAGGGCTGGCCCAAGCCATTCGTGCACCCGGGGCCTCGGGAGCATGGCACCTCCCACCCCTGGGTGCCCAGCGCATGTGTGGCCCGCCCCCAGGCATGTGGCACCCCTGGGCTCCAGGCGCATGCATGGCGCTACCCTGGGCGCAGGGAGCATGCGCAGTGCCACCCCCACCCGGCCCAGCAGCCCCAAATGAGCCTGGTCAGCCCATAGCTTGGGCCGGCTCTGGCCCAACCTCATCCATCCTTAGTCTCTTTTTATGAATATAAATAAAATACATTAAGAAGTAGAAAAACTAACAATAAATACCTTTTCTACGAGTTCTTGATTTCTTCTATATAATGCTTGCTTCTCCTCAATCCACTTCATGTCCTTAAAAGAGAAATAATTAATATTATAGAAGAAACTGACAGTGCTGCCATAGTACATGATTATGTAATTAAAGACTATGCCAAAATGTGTACACACAAGAAGCCAAATTAAAATTTAATGGGCAATCGTAATTTTGACATTTTCTTACTTTCCCCTCACTATGGTATTTCTTAAAATGTAATTGGAATATAAATACGCCAATTAAAAAAAAAAACACAAAAAAAATCCTGTCAGGCAATCTCACCTGAATGATGATTTTCAATGAAAGTGAGGTGGTATAACTTAATAAACAGATAACAGCAGTTATAATATTACGATTACTAAGGTTCCCAAGATTCAGAAAGATACATCTCATTTTGAAGCAGGATGCAGGTAATCAAGTCACTGAGACAACGTCCTTTCTGGTTGAAATGGCAAGAAAATGTTTTTTCTTTCAACCAGAAAGGACATTGTCTCAACATGAATAGTAATAGAAATGTAGCCGTGTTAGTCTGGTGTAGCTGAAGCAAAATACAGGACTATGTAGCACTTTAAAGACTAACAAGATGGTTTATTAGGTGATGAGCTTTCGTGGGCCAGACCCACTTCCTCAGATCAAATAGTGGAAGAAAATTGGCACAACCATATATACCAAAGGATACAATTAAAAAAAAAGGAACACATATGAAAAGGACAAATCAAATTTCATGTGTTCATTTTTTTGATTGTATCCTTTGGTATATATCGTCATGCCAATTTTCTTCCACTATTTGATCTGAGGAAGTGGGTCTGGCCCACGAAAGCTCATCACCTAATAAACCATCTTGTTAGTCTTTAAAGTGCTACATAGTCCTGTTTTTCGTTATATCTATTTTAGGCACTTATATAGCCACCATTACTCTAGTACCTAAGCATCTCACTATCTTGAATATATTTATCCTCACACAACAGCTCTGAAGTGCCATTTTACTGATGGGGACCTGAAGAATGCAGGATGAGATTTTTAAAGACAGATAAAGACAGAGATAGATACCTCCTGGGATTTTCAAAGGCAGGTAGATACCACTAAATGCCTATTTGCATCTTTTGGTACGTAAATACCTAGCCCTAACCAAATTGCTCAAAAAAACATAAGAAGTCCATGGCAAAGTAAGAACTGAACTAGGTTTCTCTAGGATCTAGAGTAATGTCCTAAACATTGGACCATCTTTCCTCTTCTGACAGCTGAATGATGTATATTTCAGTGTGGTAGCATCTGTCTTATGTCTGAGGTTAAAATATTTTTAAAATTCTGAGCAAAGAAGCTGTTCTCCCATAAAAGAGATTTTTGACAGTAGTTAAAATGGGCAAATAATCCTTAAAATATAATTTTTTAATTAAATTTGCTTTTTCTGTTCATGAACTGTCCAGTAATAGGTAGCAATTTTCTCAAAATGTATTCATTATTCAATTAGTTGCCAAATACTCTTTGTGAAATATTCTTGTTCTATCCATGGACAGCTGATATCAAAATGCAAGCTCTGTAGTTTTGATTAGGTACTTATGGGCCCAATACTCATATAAGTAAGTAAATCTGCGTAGTTCCAGTTACTTCAATAGAGCTATGAAGATTTACACCAACTGAGAGTCTAGCTCCTGAGTAACATAGTATATTACATGCCCTGATGACCATAACTCTTTGATTCAGCAACGAGTCCTGTGGTATCTCATTGTTTTTGCAGATACCGACTAACACGATTACCCCTCCTAGTCTTTGATTTATTTAGTGTATAACAGTCACATTTACAAATGTAAAGTTCTCTTTAGGAAAATGAATGAATATTCACAAGTATTTTCTTTCAGTATTCATTCAGCCCTAGATAGCATGGATTTAATGTTCCATTCTAATGAATTATTCAACTCATTTGTTGAAAATGTGTTAATAATCTCTCCTAATCCAGTGATACACAGTTTGAAGGGCAAGAGAGTTAAATAGATTAAAAAATGTCAATAATGCTGCTTGATAGATTTATTTTGTAATTTATAAAGAGACAAATATTTTAGGAAGTATTATCAATGACTTATATATAATATATAATCTAAACAAATCATATTAGATACAAGACAGTAGTGTGGTCCAATTGAATGCTTTCTCTCTCTCTCTCTCTCTCTCACACTTTATGAAATTGACTTATGGACACAAATATGAAAAATTTGCAGATGCTTTGGACAAAATACCTCATGTAACCTATCAATCTTAATGTCATACTCCTCTGAATCAGTATATCTTATTTTGGTGGTATGTAAAGTTAGAAATAAGGAGTATAGAGTGGTTAATGGTTTTAATTGTACAAATGAAAGCCATCAAGGGTGTTTCCCTCAATGTTTGGGTGATCACCTAAACATATTGGCTGTGTCTACACTGGGCCACTTATTCCGGAAAATCAGCCGCTATTCCGGAAAAACTATTCTGCTCCCGCTCGGGCATAAGTCCTTATTCCGGAACACTGTTGGCCGATCGGGGCTCTTTTCCGGAGGCCACAGACGCTTTTCCGGAAAAAGGGCTTTTCCGGAAAAGCAGCCTGCCAATGTAGACGCTCCTTTTCCGGAAAAACTGAAAACGGAATAGTGTTCCGTTTTAAGCAGTTCCGGAAATTCATGCCAGTGTAGACACAGCCAAGCAGTCTCTTTTGTCCTTTGAGCCTATGCAGTGGTTGGTTTTAGGAATACATATGACCAGGGCTCGCCGAACCGCGGCGAGCCCTGCTCGCCAGCCGTGCTGTCCGGCGATCTGCACATGCGCAGATCGTTCTGCGCATGTGCAGATCCCCTGAATCTGGCTCTTCCGGGTTAAAATCTACTCGCCACAGGTGAGTAGATTGTATTATTTGTCAAGCCCTGCATGTGACCATCTCCACTAGTAGGGTCTGACCAGGTAATTTTCCATAGAGAGTGGGGGAGAGAAATCCAAGTTCCCACCCAACATGGACTCTCTAAACCTGTGGTCTCCAACCTTTTTACACCTAAGATCACTTTTTAAATGACAGAACAAGCCAAGATCTACTGCCCCGCCTCTTCCTTGAAGCCCCACCACCTCTATTCTCCTCCTCTCCATCACTTGCTATCCCCAATCCTTATACTGCTGCTTTTTTTCCCAATTCTTCTTTAGAAAGAAGCTTTTCCAACATTTGGCCTGTCTAGACTGGACCAAATGTCAGAAAAACTTCTTTTGGAAGCCCCCTTATTCCTCATGGAAAGAGGAATATAGGGGTGACTGAAAGAGCATGTTTGCTCTTCCACTATAAGAAGCGGAAGAACAAAAGCATCCCTGGATGCAGAAGAGTTTTTCTGGGATATCTCTGGAATCCTGAAAAACTCCTGCAGTCTAGCCATACCCTCGCTGGGTTGAGACAGGATGTGTAGGCTCTGGGGTGGGAATTGAGGGATTTTGGTTTGGAAAGGGGAGAGAAGTGCAAGCTCTGGGAGGAAATCTGGATGCAGAAGGAGGTGAATAAGGGGACGCTGGCTCGGGGAGGGGGCTCCAGGCCAGGCAGTGTTGGGATCAGATGTAGGGTCGGGGTACTAAGCAAGCCACAGACTTCTGGATGTGAGGGTTCAGGAATTTGGAACTCCAGGACCCATATACCAAGGGGTGTGGCTGGATGGGGTAAGCAGACCCTTGCTCCAGGAAGATTGGGGTGGCAGCCCTCCCCTGCCACCTCCTGGATCCCTATTTCATCAAATGGGTGGCAACGTTTTGTTTGTGTAACCAGAGCTGTCCTGTCCATAGGATGAACTGTGACAGCCACCCCAGGCCCCCACTTTGTGGGACCCTGCAACAGCCATCTCAACCATCCTATGGACAGGAGGGATTGAGGATTATGGGGCCTGGCATGGGGTGACGGCATGAGTGCCCCCCCACATCAAAGTGGGATCCGGAGTGGCCCAGGAGCCTGCTCCACTGTGCCCCACCATGCCAGCCTCTCCTAGCTGACTGCACTCTGTGGCAGTGGGAAGTAGAGTGCTCCAGCCCCAAAGATGCATTGCTTTCTGCTGCTATGGAGAAATGGGGCGCGATGGCTGAGAGGGCAGCATTGTGGGGCAGAGCAGGCTGCCGAAATACTCTGGATCCCACTGCTATGGTGAGTGCATAAAGGGGGCAACCCATGTTGCTGCCCTGCTCCAGGCCCTAAACAAGGAACGGGGGCACAGGGAAGGCAGGGGGCAGGGAGGGCAGAGAACAGGGGGCAGAGGGCCAAGGGAACAGGGTGCAAGTGGGGGCAGGGAGGCTCCTGCACCCACCTCCCTCCCG